AGGCAGAGCAAAAGCCTGTGCAAATGCCCTGGGGCAGGAAAGGGCAGGGGTGGTGCAGGAAGCAGGCCCGTGCGGCCAGACTACGTGGAGCTGAGGTTCGAGAGGGGTAGGGATCAGATTCAAACAGGGCCTTGGAAAGGCGTTCAGATAGAAATTTCTCTTTCATTTCCTCGGTTGCCATTCATCACACCCGGCCAGTGTCTTCACTCAACTCCCAATACTCATGCATTGAAAGGGAAAAGCACGATTCCGACCAGCCAGTTGCCGCTGCCATCAGCACCCTATTGTTTTAGGCGGAAGAATCTCAAACTGCAAACCCACCCGTCACCACTGCCAGAAGCCGTAGGGGGAAAAATAGAGACATGAGGGAGCGAGGCGTGCCTTCTACCCCCTGCTGCGTACGCAGAGTGAGGGACATATGGGAATTAATATATGCGGCGCTGATAACACGGATCTCCTTGGCATTTTGATTAAACGCCGGCGGTTATTAAACACCCTCCTTCTCAGAGCTCATCTCCGAGAGCCAATGTTGCTTTTCATTTTGAACCCTGATGAACTGTCTCAATTCCGATCGCACACCTCGGCTGCACCGTGGTCGGCTGGAGGCTGGCGTTTGAGGAGGATGGAGAAAATCAATATGAAATGTCAGGCGAGGGGTCAGATTGAACTTGTTTTCCCAGCTGGCAGGAGCCTGGGGCCACCGCGGAGGCAGCCGAACAAAGGGAGAGGTGCACCGAAGAAGGTCGCCACTTTGGACGAGTCAGGAAAATGAATTTCATTCACTTCTTAATTAGATTAGGAGGCTGGCGGCTGGCGATTCAGAGCACTGCCCGGGTAGGGATGGGCTGTGGGGAGGCAGGGCTGAGGCAGAGGCCTGCAGGCTGCTACTGAGCTCCGGGGTCTCACTAGGGGCTGTCCTCAGGGCTTAGGGTTGGATGGGGCCCAGGCTGGAAGCAGGAGCAGCCGCTGGGGGTCCCTGGGTGTGCAGCTTGGCAGATCTGCTTCTGTGGGCACCATCACCCTTTCCTGTCCTCAGTCTTTAGGTCACAGTCAGTGGTCACCGCCTGGGGTTAGAAAGTCCTTGCCATATCCCCTCACAGCACCGTATGCCCCTCTTTCATACCAATTATTGCACTTGTAAGTAATGAGTCTTTCCTCCTTAGACACTGTGATGGTTAATTTTATGCAGCAACCTGATTAGGCCATGACATGCCCAGATATTTGGTCAAACCTTATTCTGGGTGCTACAGTGAGGGCATTTTTGGATGAATTTAACATTTAAATTGAGAGACTGAGTAGAGCAGATTGCCCTCCCTAATGGGGGTGGGCCTCCTCCAATCAGTTGAAGGCCCAAATAGAACAAAAAGGCTGGACCTCCCCAAATAAGAGGGAATATCTTTGAGCCTCTGCATTTGAATGAAAACATTGGCTCTTCCTGGGTAATGAGCCTGTTGCTTTCCTGAGGCACTAGCTTTCCTGGGTCTCCTGCAGTCCCACTGCAAATGTTGGGTCTCCTGCAGTCCCACTGCAAATATTGGGACTTAGCACCGAATCCTTATACTACATCTCTCTCATACGCACACACATGTTTATGTTTATGAGATATATATCTCCTATGGGTTCTGTTTCTCTGGAGAACCCTCACTAACACAGACTGTGAGCTCCAGGAGGGAGGAAACCAGGCCTGGTTTTGCTCACATTGCATCCCCAGAGTCCGGTATAGCACCTGACATGTAGTATGTGCTCAACAAATACTAATTAAGTAAATGAACAACTGAGCTTCGTATATCTGGTAAAAAGGCTAGAGTTTCAAGCACCGTATAGCTGCAGGCCTAGCACAGAGGGGCTTGGGGAGGAATAACTGTGATAACTGCAGCTGCCATTCATTGACTCCTGGGTCCCAGCAGGTGCTAGGCGCTCGCCCTAGGATGACATTTCCTTTTCGTGGACAGCCGGCCCTGTGAGGCTACGTTTTTTATTTCTACTTTCAAATGAGGAACTTGGGGCTCACCAGGATTAAGTAATCCTGAGGCCACACAGCACTGAGCTGAGCTCTGATTCCAAAGCTTCTACTTTAAACCATCCCAGTTCTGGGAATTCCTAAGGCCTTGTTCTTTTTCCATCTTGAGTGGAGGGTCCATCAAGCCTCCCATTCAGCTTATTTCTCAATATCCAGCACTCGTGTGGGTCTGTCTGATCCCGGAGCCCAGGCTGGCGTCTGCCGCACTGGCTGTGAGCACTGGCGCTTCTCGCGCCATCTCTGGCATCCATATTGGTGACCCTTCGAGCCTGGTTCTACTTTTGCTCCAGAGAGCCCTACCTCCTTCATCAGCTTGTCACCTCACACACAGCATGTTCCCAATTGAACCCTGGCCCTTCACTCTCCTCTATATGGCTTCTGATTAGTCCCCATTCCACGTGCCCATTTATGTCAACCCTCAGGCATACATTTATTTATTGAATACATATTTACTGAGCACCTACTAGTGTCAGGTGCTGGTAATACGACGTGAGCAAAACAGATTCAGTTCTTCCGAGAGTTTATAGTATAGAGGGACGAACACTGAACATGACCTAACATCCATGGCTGGTGATTGCCAATCTCTAATATCACACCACCCATAGTTACCTTATAAGAAAAGGCTCTATTTTCCTTTTCCTTCCTTTCAATTTCCATAGCTACCATCCTTATCTACATTATAAATTTCCATTTATTACTTTCTAATTCTTCTATGTTTCTTCCCACCACTGCCGCGTTAATCTTCCATAAAATAGGAATTCTATAACTCTGTTCTCCAGCCAAATGATCTCAAATTGCTCTCCACATACTAGGAACTGGGGCACATGGATGTATCCTTGAAGGTCAGGGAGAAGGAGGATATGGGGTACATTAAGTGGTACAGGAGGCCATGGGATAAATGCTGCAATTTGGGGGAGAATAAATTTTGCTTGAAATTTGGGATGGGTAGAAATGTAATTATTACATTAAACGGAAAGTAGGCATTTTATGGGAATAAAATACAGAATTCAAGTGAAATTTTAAGATGGGAAAATAAGTCTGCAAATAAAACCGGTTGTGGGCAATACCTCCCCCAGGGTCTCTGGCCCCTGCCAGGCACATGCTGTCTTTGCTGTCAGGACAGGCCAACCAGAGCACCTCAGAGAGGTTGGACAGCTTTTGGGTGTTCTTCCTCCATGGCAGCAAGGCTTGTGCTTGACCTTGGGAGTGCTGTAGTTGGGGACACAGCTGTGAGCAAAACAGAGTAAGTCCATGCCCTCAAAAAGCTGATGGTCTAGATCAGTGATGGCGAACCTATGACACACGTGTCAGAGGTGACACACAAACTCATTTTTTTGGTTGATTTTTCTTTGTTAAATGACATTTAAATATATAAAATAAATATCAAAAATATAAGTCTTTGTTTTACTATGGTTGCAAATATCAAAAAATTTCTATATGTGACACGGCACCAGAGTTAAGTTAGGGTTTTTCAAAATGCTGACACGCCGAGCTCAAAAGGTTCACCATCACTGGTCTAGATCCACAATATCCAATAGAACTTTCTGCAACGATAAAAATATCTTAAACATCTTAAATCTGCACTATCCAATATGGTAGCTACAAGCCACACGTGCCTATTGAACACTTAGTAGATAATCTGAATTGAAAATGTTTTTGAAGACTAAGTTTGAAAAAAATAAAACATCCCATTAACGATTTTTAATTATTATCTCATCGAAGCCCCATGACAAGCCCATGAGGTGGATGTTATTATTCTACCCATTTACAGATGAGAAAGCCAAGGTTCAGAAAGGTTAGGGAAAGTTGGACAAAGCAGACAACTAACCAGGGGCGAAGCCTGGCTTTGACCGGGGTCTGCGGGAGTGTAGAAGCCACACAACTTATAAACCACTATACATGGGGGACCGACCACTGCGTCCCAGGCACCTTTACTCTGGGGAGTTTTCTAGAAAGCCTTCCTGCTGGCTCCAGGCCAGCCTGTTGACCACGGTGCTGGCCTTGAGTGCCAGCTGACATTTGCTTTACCTGCTCACATCGGTCTGAGCCTCAGCCCCCACTGGATTGGAGCTGCTGTGCTCTGTCCACGCCCTGCAAACTCCAGCGTGACCAGAGGGCCCGTGACTCTGGCTGCCCTTTCCCCTCCCCCTTCTCTGAAACCTTCTTCCGGTGCCCACTAGAACCATCGGTACCTCTAGGATGCTGGTTCCCAAAGCCGCAATCTCTCTAAGAAGCCATGAACCCCTCCCTCCAGCCACTATTCTTAAAAAAAAATATTGAGATATATTTGACATATAACATTATACTAGTTTCAGGATTTGATGTATGTCTATAATGCAAAATAAACACAATAAGTCTAGTTAACATCCATCACCACACAGTTACCCTTTTTTTTTTGTGATGAAAACTTTTAAGATATTCTCTCTTAGCAACTTTCAAATATACGATATGGTGTGGCTACTTAGTCACCGTCCCCAGATGCCCTTCTTGATTCCTTGTATAATCTCAGCCTCCTGCACAGGCCAGCAGGTCCTGGTAGCTCCTGCCGAGGTCTACCCAGAGCCCACCTGCCCCTCTCCACTTCCCCGCCGCCGCCCTGGCCCGGGCAATGCTCAACTCCTGCCTGGACGTGGCAACAACCCCCAGCGCTCTCCCCTTCCCGCCCTTCAGGTTCCTCTGCCCACAGCAGCAAGACTGATCTTAAAACATAATTCAGATCATGTCACAATGTTATGTGACAGGGCTCATGCCTTATTCATCTCCGCAGACCACAGCCTGCAGCCATGTTTGTGGGATTGAACGTGAGGTTTCATCTTTATTGAAATACCCACCGTGGAGCTGACACCGAGGCAGGCGGACACTGGTACTTTCTTTGCTCCCGGCGAGTCTCATGTAGGAAAGGAGATCAGCCCTCCCCGCCCCCCGCGTGTCAGGGCCAGTGCCCCGCCCCTCAGCTCTGCGCTGGCTGACGGCTACTCACATTTGGTGTGCCTGTCACACAGGGCCGACGCCCGCATGTCACACAGCCGGATTGTCCCTTTGCTGCTGCTGTACACGAAGGTGTTGCAGTGATGGGGGTGGAACTCGGCCGCCGTGATCACCTCCGTGAGCTCCTCCATGTTGGCCGGCTTAATGTCCACGATGTCTGGCACCGAGAGTCAAGGAGCGGACGGGAGAGGTGCGAGTGGGGAGCAGGGGGTGGCGGGGAACAGGTTAGCTTGCACCACACAGGATGGGTCCTCACCAAAACGCTGTGAGCAAACAGGCAGGTATTACTGGTCCCAGGCCGATGAGCTCAGGGTCACCCAGTGGTCGGAGGCAGCGTGGGAACTCGGGTCTCCCTGGCCCATTTCAGTATTTCATCCTCCTAACATGTAGAGCGCCCACCAAAGTTACCTGCTCATGCAACTGCAAAAACGTACCAAGCTGCACAGACTTCCATTTCTCCTTTTACAATGGTGGTTACAAAACTCGTCCCATTCCAACTAAATAACTCATTTTATTGGAATCTTTACCCAGACTCCTGTGCTATAAGTAAAACCTACAATAGACTGTAAATCATCTTCTATGAAATCTCTGAGATCTTCTTTAATATGATGATGATAATAATAATAATAATAGCTGCTACCATTTATTGATCACTGTGCAAAGCACATCAGGTACTTTATCTCATCAGTTTTCTTATCCCCATTTTCCAGGGGGTGGAAACGGAAACTCAGAGCATGTAAAATAACTTGCTAAAGAGTGACAGTTCTAGGATTTTACCCCAGGCGCAACATTTGTGTTCTTTAGTAATTATACAAAATTTCTCTTATTGAAGATATACAGGGGCTCAAGTCTCCATAAGCTGTGATTTGCTTTAGAGCTTGTGGGAGTTTAAACATCAGAAAGAAGCCATCCAGTGGTATGGTGAGATAGTTTTAGCCTCCTATGGAATGTATACCCTTAGTTTATCATTTGTTTTTTTATTGTTCTCAGGTTTTTACTTTCTGGTCAAGAATTAGTATACAGCTATTCATGACCACATCCTTGTATACTTCAATGAACCACTTGGCTTTCACTAATGAAGGTGACTAACAGAAACACCTTCAGTAGGGTGTCTGGCATGCATGAGGTGTGGGTTTAGGCGGATCCCTTCATATCCCAACTAAGAGCTCAAGAGGGGACCTGGGTGCAAGCTGGGAGGCGCCTGGCTGGGGACCAGCAGCTTCCTGCGAAGGAGCCGGCCTCGTGATGTGGATGCTGTGGTACGGAAAGCTGACCAAAAGTGATTCCCACTTTTCCTAGACTTGACAACCTTTGAGCCACCTTTGTGACCTTTGGCCACCTCTCTATGCGCAGGTTGTATTTTACTTTCACGTTCGTCTTCAGATCAACTTACAACGACTCACTTTTCTTTACTTAGCCTTGTCTAAGCAGTAATCCATATTCATAAAATCATGGGTGCAATGAGCTAGTTACTTCTTTTTTTCCATCTCCACCCGATGAGGTGCGGGGGTGGGGGGGTGGGGGGGGGAGAGAGAGAGGTGTGTGAGAGAGAGAGGGGTGAGAGAAAACATTGATCAGTTGCCTCCTGTACGTGCCCCAACCAGGACCAAACCTTCAACCTTTTGGTGTACAGGACAACGCTCCAACCCAGCCGGGCAAGCTAGTTACATTTTTAGTAATACACATGAAAATAAATGCATAACAATTAAACTCAAACTGTTGATGTGTGCGAGTTTATGTATCTGGTTTTGGAAAACACTACTGAATTGACAAGCGATAACTTGATACCGACTATCCTATGGGACTGGCATGGATGAAAGTCCTCTGTTTTTCCTGGTTAGTAGCATAGCCCCCTCCTTAGAGTTTAGATGAGGTACAAGTAAATGCACTGGTATTGTTAGTTACCCCAACACCAACAAAGTGCTCATCTATTATCAAACATCACCTCTGCTCCTGCTACAACAATCCCAGCATGCCAATTTGTTGTAATAAGGGCTTTGTCGTTGGCTCTGCTACTTCCCCTTCAATTACCTCTTATAAATCCTGTTGGGTTCTTTCTAAAATTAACTTGATACTGAACTAACATTATATTTTACTACACTTGCCCCCACCAAACCCAGGTGCAAGTATTACTTGGGTCTCCAGAGCGTGTGGGTCCCCTGGATTCATAAAATACTACCTTTCCACTCAACTGCTGCCAGATTATACCTATTATTTCAGTCAGCCCCACACCCTGGGGAGTGAGAGCCCATGCTCCCCAGAACGAGGTCCCGAGCTGCAGCTCTGATGTTCTCACCAGCCCCTGACCCATGCCCTGGGCTTGTGGCCACAGCATGGGGTGCCGTGAGCAGAGGTCAGGGTTCAGCTGTTGTCAGATTTCATCTCCCTCCAGAAAGAGCCTCCAGACCCTGCTGTGCCGTGAGCAGATTTCTCCTTTCCCAAAATAGGACAAGAAAACCTGCCGTCAGCTTTCTCGACCTCCTCCAGGGTAGCTCTAAACACAAGAGGCACTGGAAGGGATCTTTGCTTTGCTGTGTGGGAGGGCAGGGGAGGTGCCATATCCATGGTTATTTTTTCTCACCTAAAAATAAAGCCCGAGTCGGAATGTGTGAAAACGAAGCGCTTAGACATATCTGGGAAACCAGCAACACGCACCACCATCAAGAGCACCCTCCTGGGAGGTGACCACTGAGTCGGCCACGTCTGGATCCAGCTCCCCGTCCCATCCTGGGCCGAGACAACTGCCCATCATCCCTCATCCTCAAGCACCTCCCTTAAGACTAGAGTGCTTGTTAGGGTCTGATTCTGTGGGGGTCAGGGGGTGAATTTGACCTCTACTCTTTTTAACAACCATGACGATAAGGACGAGGAGGAAGAGAATACCAACCTGCAGTTAAAGATGATCAAATGGACTGTCCCATTTAACCTTCACCTCAGCCTTAGGAGGTCAGTACCATTAAGAGGCCCATTTTCAGCAGAGGAAATAGTGCTGGAGGTAAATTATGCAAAGCCATCTGACCAACAGGGGGAGGAGCTTCATTTGAACCCAAGTTTGTCCAACTCCAGAACCTGGTTCTGGACCACATGCCCCCTCATCGCTGGGGAATGCCCCCCCCCCCCGCCCCCCGAGCCAGCCCTGCTGAGTGTGGTGAGTCTGGCTCTGTTGGACTGCCCCCTGGCTAATCTGGGAGGGAGCTGACTTCTGCTCAGGGCCTGTGCTCTCTTAATTCACTGTCCATTTTGGGGGTCACATTTTTCAGAACCACAATTGGGACACAGCATCTGATCTAGGATTTTTGTGTCCTATGATGTGATAATTTTTTTTTTTGAGCCAGAAGTTGGGACAGAAACACGGTAAGGGATTTCCTGAATTGTTTATGAGGGAGAATTTGCTCAGTTCTAGAGACATTTGGGAGAAGGAGCCCAGTTACCAAAAATTCAATGGCTCATGGGGGTGACGGTAGGGTGTCTTTCACCTCTGTCCGCCTAGAAACCCTTACACTATTGTAAAGGGAGACACACACCTTCGGTCTGTGTGGTTTTGCCCTTCACGTTGGGGCGGGAGGAGAAAGGACATGAGCAATGCACAGCTCCCTGTATTATCTTGAACATGGGATGATGCATTTTGACAGTCAATTTTCTCTTCCCCATCGTCTAGAGCTCTCTATCCAAATTATTTCCCTGTTGTCCCAAAGAACTAAACGGCAAAAGCAAAACAGCGTTGGCTTCACGGATGATACACAAGGCAGACAGCCAACAGATTGCTATTAAATTAACCCTGGGGCTTGACAGATCTGTTCTTCCTGACCCCGACTGCTTATGGCATTCTGTATTAATGCTGAGCCGGGGCAAATTACGTCTGCTAACAAAAGGGGTTAATCTGCCTCTCCACTAGGGCTCTGGAGGCAGCTCTGAGGACAGGAGGGGGCACAGGCAGTTTGGCAGCTGAGCTCCATGCTTGGAAGGCAGAAGGTGGGAAGGTGAGGGCACCGCTGTGCCAGGCAGTAGCCTAAAGCATCATTTAAAATAATAATTGAAGACACCGGGAGGTCACCCCTTAAGAGATCAGCCTAAAACAAATAAGAAGCCAGAGCCATAAATCACCTCAGCAGTGGAGTGAGGGAATGGAGAGGGTTATGGCAAGATGCTAAGGGGTAGCAATGGGGCTATGCAAAAGTCATTTTCTTAAGCCCAAATTTAGAGGAAGCTTTCTGTAAAAAAGTCTGCATTTGCAATGCAACATTAAAAAAGATTGACAACAACATACGTATACATATATATACACTCACACATATACACAATAGGGAAATAATACAATTAGGGAATTTTGATTTATCTCACTAAATCATTTATGTAGTGAAATTCCAGGTCAGTTAAAAACATAGTATGAAAAATTCTATCTAAAGTATGATCATAATGTTATTTAAAAATGTATACTCTGAAAATGATGAGTTGAAAGGTATGCTACCAAATGTTAGTGACAGTTCTATCTGAGTGGGTCTATCAATTTTTTCTTTTCAATTTTCAGTTATTATTTTCACATTTTCTTTTAATAACGTTGTAGTGTTTTAGGATGGGAAAATATATTTTCTATGTTTATCTATCCATCTATGTATCTATCTCTCTATATATAATTTTAGGTGAGAAATGTTAGATACAAAATATATACAGTCTGTCCATAGCCACATAAAAAGGAGTGTGGTGTGTGTGTGTGTGTGTGTGTGTGTGTGTGTGAGAGAGAGAGAGAGAGAGAGAGAGAGAGAGAGAGAGAGAGAGAGAGAGAGAGAGAACAGACAGGAAGGAAATATAGTTATTTCTTATAGGGCCGTGGTCGGCAAACTGCGGCTCGCCAGCCACATGCAGCTCTTTGGCCCCTTGAGTATGGCTCTTCCTAAGACTTAGGAGTACCCTAATTAAGTTAATAACAATGTACCTACCTATATAGTTTAAGATTAAAAAACTTGGCTCTCAAAAGAAATTTCAATCGTTGTACTGTTGATATTTGGCTCTGTTGACTAATGAGTTTGCCGACCACTGTTATAGGGGAATTAGATTCCAAGGTAAGCATGTAAGTTACCCTTTAGTGACTCTAGCTTGTGTCCATACATTCATTCATTCATTCATTCATTCATTTACTCATTCCTCCACACATTTCAC